AAAGTCTTTATTAGCTAGAGAGAGAGAGAGAGAGAGAGAGAGAGAGAGAGAGATTACTTATTAAAATAATATATTATTCAAATAGGATCTAGATATGTTTACTAAGGATTTGATTATATAAATATATAATAAACTTGATTTATATATGACAGAACTCTAGAAAATAGTGATTATAATTTTATTTCATGAAACTTATAAACTTTTTTAGTTTAGATTATTCCGCTTAAATTTTATTAATGTAACTTAAAAATTTCTTATTATTAAATTATATAATTTTAATAAATAATAGTCGATTTCAAAAGTTTTAAAAGCATAGAAATATTTTCTATGATTCATAGACAGTTTCATGACAGTTTTAATGTGGGCAATAAATTATAAAACAATTATATGGCTATCATAATGATAAGTGAATTGAATTTACCCATATTTTATAAGCATAATAAAATATTATGATTATTGTTAACCCGACAAAAGTTATACTATTTGACAAAAATCTAATGATGTTGATCAAAATCTTATAAGTCTCTCTCTCTCTCTCTCTCTCTCTCTCTCTCTCGAGTTCTATAGTACTCTATAAAATATAAATTATATATTAAATAGCGAATTAAATAATAAAATATAGGTAAAATAGTTGGTTGAAAGGGGAAATTGTAAAAAATTATATAAATTCATTTAAAACATAAATATTAATTGTCAATAATTAATTGTTAATTACCTGAATTTCCGAGCAATGAATCAATGAGTGTGATAAGGAAAAAGTTTATAAAAAGTACAATAGTAATTTTTCTGATGATCATGATGATTGATTAAATGAATTGAATGAAGTAAACCATATTTAATATTGTAGAAAAATACAAAATTAAATAATTATAAATTAATATTCTATCTCTAAATTAAAATATAGACTAATTGAGACAATTATATAAAATTCACAACAGGTTTGTAATACAAATATTAGCAAATGTAGAAAGAATTGCAAACAGAGAATATTCAATAGACTTGTTGTTTGCGAAAACACTTAACATTAAATAAATTCACTAATTCTTTGTTATATTAATTTAGGGCCAAATTATATGCTCAATGTGTTTGTGTGTGAAGTTCAATAAAACAATCCCAAATTGATTATCGTTATGACAATCTCTTGTTGATCCCATAGCACAGCATAGGGTTCCCAACCAAACCCATAGTGACCATAGAGTGATGCATAGGATATGGAATTCTGACCTAATTTTTATTGAGTGTCATAAATAATAACACAATTATTACTTCTTAACACATATTTAATCTCAAGAATTATATATTTATATTATTAATAAACGATTATTTCAATGTAAATAACAATCGGTATTATTCTTGTGAGCTGTAGACTAGTCGACAAATATAATGCACAATATCTACGAATATTCTTAACTTGTGTAGGCATACCATGATGTTTGACTATGGCACAATTAATTACCAACATAGTCAGTTAGATTATAGTGCGGGACAAAAGTATGTAAGTGCACTTTAAGGGTATATTTTATTGTGTTTAACCGGAATACTGTGTTTAAATGATGTGCATTGCATAATAAATTCAGATTTCACAAAAAAATAGCAATCAGAAATAATTCAATAAAAGTATATGTTTAATTGTATAATAATTATAATTGTAATTATTACAATACATACACATTAGTTTTTAAATAGTATTTATAGTAATTAATTGGTAATATATAATTATTTTATTGTTTAGTTAGATTGTTAAAATTATATATAATTGTATATGTTAATAATGACTAAATAAATTTAATTTAATTATGCACCGATAAAAATATCTGTAAAACAGGTTAATTTAAATTGTTAATTATTTCAAGAATAAAATGCAATACTATTTAAGTTGCAAGATACAATTGCAACAGTTTTGTTAAAAACATTGTACAGAAAAAATGCAATTAACTTATATTAAAATAACTTTACCAATTGGTTTATTGCCTGGTATTAAAATAATTAGTTTATAACTAAACCTACTATAAAAACTATTTATTATTGTTTACAATTAATACAATAAACTGAAAATGAGTGCAAGTTTTAAAAAGTTTATATCGATATTATAAACGGTAATAATATTAAATTAATATAATTGCTATATTATCATTATTATTTTAATCATAATCATATCAGATTATCATAATAACTCAGTTAATCAGATATGTATGATCATAATTAATTTCTAATTTAAATATAAAATAATTATCATTTTAATTAAAAAAGTGAGGCCTTATTTTTAAAATATGGTATTTGTAGTAATTGTATAAACAGAATTGATGCTTATTATAAGTTAGATCATACTGAATTAATAATGGTTGTTTTTATGGTTATTTCCATGAATATTGAAATGATATTTTTCTGTTTGTTTCACACAATAGTCTCTAACAAATGGCATTTACAGTCACTTATCTGTTGCTTAATAAGCAAACACTTGTCTCAATACAAGAAACTATTAATGACTTGCAATTAAACAATGAAATATTAATATTCAAATATAATTATTATTGACGTTGAAAAATGTTTAATACAATTAAAATATGAGTTACCAAACAAAGTGTTGTTGAAAATTTGATCATTTCAAACATTCACATTTTATACCTTAATAAAAATTAAGTAACTTTTAATAATTGATGTAAATTAATGAAAGAAGTTTTATTTTTAAAAGATATGAAATACAATTAAAACAGAAACAAAATATTATAATAAATGTTTTGTTATAAAACAAATAAACCTTTAAAATAAAAAGTAATTCAAAATTAAAATAATGATTAATTATTATCAATAATTAAACAAAACTATCTGAGTCTCAGTCGGTGTAGGCGTTCAACGGCTTATTGACCGGATTTATGCCGTCGGGACCGGTGTTGTTGTTGTGGGGCTTAGGCTTTGGTTTGCGACACTTGCCGTATATAACAAACGCAATGCCCACCAAAATAGAGCCGACGACTATACCAAACACTATGTATTGCATTGTGTAGTCCTCGACGCACCCGACCCACAGGCCTATGGACTGCCGGTTCACACACTCGCCAATAACCGACCCGATGTTTATATTGCAAACAGTGTTACGGGAAAATAAATAAATGCTCTGACCCAACACAAACCCGGCAGAGGGTAAGCTTGATTCATTAGCGGTATTGTTAGTGCTCTGGGTGTTTAGCTCAGTCTGGGAAGTAGTAGGCTTGATGGTTGTGTCAGTAGCAGGTTCATTTACCGCTCGTTTTACCAAGCCGTTAAACAGGCCGGTGACAGTGCGGTCAAAAATGTCAACTACAGTTGTATTAGCTAGGCCAGTTTTGTTAAATATGTCTGTCGCTGTTTTATTAACCAAGTTGATTAGTGTGTTTCCATCAAGTTGGGCATTCTGAGCGTTATTATTGTCGGTGATATTGTACGTGGTCTGTGTGATTTGGACATTAGGGTACTTTATGTCATATGTGTATTGTGTGAAGCCTTCAAGTTTGTATAGCTTTAAATCGTAGGTTTGTTTTGTGTGATTAAATACTGTCTTATTGTGTGACCATAACAACCACGTCATCTGTTTTTCTCTCTGTATACAGCATTTCGTACAAAAGTATACATCAAGCACAATTAATTTATATCTAGATTTAGTTAGTACATTTATTTAACTTTTGTTTTATAAAGTAAAATCTGTAAAATAGACAACATGCTATTTATTAAACAGATTATTACTTACATTATTTATATAAGATATTATAAAAATTAGATAAAACATTCAAAAACTTACATTTTCTAATTTAATGACTTTTTTAGCAGGGTCCAAATAATAAACGCTGGTTATGGGGGCGACAACAGTCTTGTCAGCCCACTGTACCAAATGTTGTGATGCCTTGTATTTAAAGGCCACCTCATTGTGTTGGCCGGAGTCGGCGCTCACTTCATAGACCGTTGTCTTTGAGAACAAAGTGATGACATCTTTGCCCGAATCGGACGTCTGGTCAACGAATGCCGAATCGATTTCAATCGTCGGATCGCAAAATGGATACTATTTTTAAGAATTGAATATATGATAGGATTTGACTTAATTAATCATAAAACTTTAATGATCATGTTTATTATGACTTGCCCATTCGCATAATACAACTGTTAATTGTATTAATAGTATAATTAATTTTAGTTTGAAAGCCATTTAAGTTATATTTTTGAAATCACTATTAATTATACAGTTTTACGTTAATTAAAACTTTAGTTAAAATACTTTAAATAACTATTGTGTAAATTAACTTAATAGAGTTAAATGATTTAAATTAAAAATTTATAATAATTAAACCTTAGGTCCAATAAAACTGGTTAAATTTTAATTTTAAAATAATTAAAACTTTATTACTTTTAGGCACTACATCAAGCAAATAAGAATGATTATTAGGTACAGACAATACACACATATAACCTAAAAATTGTTATATTAATAATAAACATATCGAAATAGGTTTGTAATAGACTGTAATAATACAGTATTTTGAACATGTAGTATGATTAAGCATTTGTTGGCATTTATTACATTAAAGAATTCATTTACACTTTATTTAATACAAAAGCCATGAAACTAATTAGAAATTGATTTTTTATGATAATGATTTTATTTTCATTAAATCTTATTTAAATGACAAACAATATCAAAGTGTGCTAGCAGTTTTAATCGTTTAAATAGTTTAGCTAAACATATTATAATGTAACAAAAGAACAAACCTTAAACAATAAATTGTTGCATTATCCCTGATGTCAACCAAACACTGCTTAGAAGGAAAATATGCGAACATCACCTAGCTGATCCAGTCGTGGTTGATATGGTCATGTCCAGTATTTTATGGTGATTCATAAACAATCTTCAAAACGTGCGAATGGCCATAAGCATCAAAGTTATGGCCATATTTCTAACCATTTGCTTACGTCTTATAGCATTATAGTTTTGGTGAATGGCATTACTCACGAGAAAAGCCAATTTTCAATGCATGTAGCCCTATGCAAGTGGTTAGAAATATGGCCATAACTTTGGTGCTTATGGCCATTCGCACGTTTTGAAGATTGTTTATGAATCACCATACAATACTGGACATGACCATATCAACCACGACTGGATCAGCTAGGTGATGTTCGCATACTTTCCTTCTTAGCACGAGTCAGGTACCTAATAAACCAATGATGAGCAGTAATTGTATGGTTAATTTATTTATATTTTAAGTATTAACATTATTTGTTGTTAATAATTATAAAGCTTAAAATAATTATGCAATATTACTTGTTACAGACATAAATGTATAATTATTGCCAATAATATATGCATTTTATAAATAAATATTTGATAAAATAATTATAATTTTTATTTCAATTACAAAGTATTCGATAACACAAGTAATCTGTTGTTCCTTTGCATTTAATTTGATCTCAAATGTGTTACTTTTTTCCAATAAAATATTTAAATAGTGATTGCACAGCAATGCCATACATCAATTGGGATGAGGCTCAAAGAATAGATTTAACATTACCACTAGACTTAGGATTGTCCATAAGATTAGCAGCAGTCCCATTGATTTAACATTACCACTAGACTTAGGATTGTCCACAAGATTAGTTTTCTCATCAAACTTCTGTACAGCTCGTTTTACCCACCTATTTGATAAAGTGATAAATAGGTAAATAAATAAATGATAAATAAACTATATTAACTTATCATTGACTTATCGGAACCAATTGATAATTAAAAATTTAGCTCTATGACAAGGAATTACAGCTTAAATCTATTGTTATACTTTAATATCGGACTATTTTTATCCTAAAATTTTTATAAGTAATGTTAATTTTATAGGACTAATGTTAATTTATAACAGTTTTAAAAGTAGTAATGCTAAGTCAGTAGTATATTATTCAATATATTGATTAACTTATTAAATAATAAGCACTAATTGCACACAAATAGTCTCTAACAGAGTGATGTGTTGACCCCAATCCTCCCCTCCCGACCCCATACCTACCAATACCTACTATACCATACCATACCATCAAACTAATAGACAATCAATTAGTTAAATATAAACAATTAATGAAATAAATTACACAGATTTATATTTACAATTTTTTTTGGTTTATTTTTCAAATTTTTATAATTTTTTTGGGTTATTTTTTAAAATTTTATATTTTTGTGTTTTTCAAAATTTTACAATTTTTTTTGGTTATTTTTTGTTGCGAGTTTTGCCATTTTTTTGGTTATTTTTTAAAATTTTATAAATTAAATATGTTTGATTAAATATGGTGATTAAATATGTTTGGTTAAATATGTTTGGTTAAATATGATGATTAAATATATTTAGTTAAATATTGTGGTTAAATATGTTTGTGTGAATTATAAAATGGTTAAATATGTTTTGATAAGATTATCGTTAAAATATTGATTATGAGTAAATAGTTTGATGAACTGATTATACGTCATGCCAGCACTACGTATTTTTATATAGGCAATACAATAGTGTCCACACGTTATGCATGTGAGGCATTGTAAATATTTTCGGTTATGGAAATGTGTTTTTGAGTTTGTGGCCAAAA